ACTTTGGGAGGGTGTTCCTTATGTTAAAGTATGCCGATATAACCCAAAACACCCATGTCCAAAGTTGAACGGTTACGGAGATAATGGCCCAAGAAAAGCGTGGTCTTCTGGCGGGTGCACGCACTGTACCTGTCATCTGACAAGTCTTATCTGTGTTTGTCCTTGAGTGTGGTGATTCACACTAGCTGTAAGCTTATGTGGTACCTTCAGGGTACGTTGCGGCCGCGTTGTGAATGGTTGATAAATTAGTTGTGCGGAGTTGCTGAAATGGCTTTTGTGTTTTCACACGTGGAATATTGTAATATGCATTTTGTGTATGGATTTTGCGGTGGCAATGCATGTGCTGCTGTTGAAGAATACCAAAGGCGTTTTCCCGATCAAAGGATTCCATCTCAAAGTGTATTTACGCGAATACTGGTTCTCTTCCGAGTGTTTCTGTGCACTCTGAAAGGGAGGATGTACGAATGAGAAACACACGAGAGAACATTCTTGAGATGGTTCAGAGAAGTCCGCGTCTGTCCACTCGTAGAATTGCCTCTCTCATTGGCGTATCACGTATGCAGGTGTGGTGAACTTTACATGATGAAGAGCTGTATCCTTACAATGATCAAAGGGTACAACATTTGGAACCAGGCGACCATGCTCAGCGTATGGATTTCTTCCACAGGATAAAAGCTAATCCCGAACTGTTAAGTGTCATTTTATTCAGTGATGAGGCATCTTTTACCTGGGACAGTGTAAATAATTTACGAAATGTGCATACGTGGTCCCATAATAATCCACATGAGATAATGGAAACGAAATTCCAAGAGATTTTCTGTGAATGTATGGTGTGGTGTGCTTGGGAACAGGTTGATCGGACCTTTTCTGTTTCACAACAATTTAGTAGTTATGTTGTCGGCTTATACCAGAATGCGCCGTCAACCATGTTACGTCAGCGCTTGCCAGTCATGTGTCATGTATAGTTCTTGGAAACCTAAGGGCAACTATGACATGGCGTGCGAGGTTTTTGTAGTTCAATTTAATGGCTTCACATCACTCACAAGTTAGTTTGATGTTACATACAGTGTTAACATTACAGAAACCACATATTCTTGCCAGTTTTAATATGTATTTGGTAATCAAAAAGTGTGTGACAACTGTCAAAGTTTCACACTTCTCTGGCCATTATGTCTGTAACCGTTCAACTTTGGACATAGGTGTTTTGGGTTATATCGGCATACTTTAACATAAGGAACACCCTCCCAAAGTCTGGCACATTTCTCTTGGGACATCCTGTATAAGCTTAATATTGAGAAGGTTAATATTATAATTTGCTATATTCTAATCTGCTCTTAATTGTGTAAGATGATCGTGTTGCACTAAATATGGATCCATACTGGGAGTTCAATTAACTTCCTGAATAATACTCATAATTACTGTTTGATGAGGGTTCCATGAGGACCAAAACATGTAGCAGTAGGAAAATAAAAACTCAGTCTGTGTATTGATTGATTGTATAACGTTTGTTGTGCTGATGGAAATCTTACTTTGCCATTTACATAACTACTGTTCAAAAACTAATCACTCTGAATACCTCATACTGCACAGTTATAAACTATTTTTCCTTGTATTTTGTTAAACACCCATTATGTCACTATATTAATCACAGATCTCCGGGGGGGAGTGTTTCTAGAGGAAATGTCATGCAGGCGTTACAACAAGAAAAAGTGCGAAGATCAGAAGAAACAGCATGGATACAAGATTGGAACATGGAATGTCAGGACCTTGAATCAAGCAGGAAAACTGGAGAATTTGAAAACGGAAATGCAGAAGAATGAAGTGTCTGTTCTAGGTGTCAGCGAAGTGCGGTGGAAAGGACAAGGTGAAATAAGAAGCGGTGATTATACAGTGTATTATTCCGGAGGTGAACGGGTTGAAAGAGGTGTGGCAATAGTGGTGCATAAAAGTGTAGTGAGGAGTGTTGTTAAGAAGATTGCTTGTAATGACAGAATTATTGCTCTGAAGTTAAAGGCGGAACCGGTAGATATACTGATTATACAAGTGTACATGCCAACATCAGAGTATGAAGATGATGAAGTGGAAAAAGTGTATGACACAATTGAAGAAATTCTTCAGGAAGATGGAAGAGGAGACACAAACAGCATCATATTGGGAGACTGGAACAGCATTGTTGGAGATGAACCATATCAGAATATTGTTGGATCACATGGACTAGGAAGACGGAATCACAGAGGTCAAATGCTTATTGACTTTTGTGAACGAAATGGATTGATTGTTACCAACACTTGGTTCAAGAAGCCAAAGAGAAGAATTTACACATGGAAGGCACCTGGGGATTGGAAGAGGCATCAGCTGGACTACATCCTTGTGAAACATCGATTCAGAAACAGTGTGAAGGATGTGAAGACGCTTCCTGGGGCAGACATTGACTCTGACCACAACTTGCTGGTTGCCAAGTTCCGAACCAGGTTGAAGAAAATTATAGGATTTCGAAAGCGCAGACCCAGATGGGATTTGGAGAAGTTATATGCTCAAAGACAAAGCGTGCAAGAGACTCTAGAAGAGAAACTCGGTGCAATTGAAGGTGAAAGCGGAAATGCTGAAGCGCAGTGGAACGATATAAAAGAATGCATGTTAGATACTATCAGTGATTTGGTAGGTAAAGTTGAGAAGATAGCAAGAAAACCATGGGTTACACAGGAGATGATGAGTAAAATGGAGGAGCGAAGGAAATGGAAGAATGTCAACAATGAAGAAGGCAGGAGGAAATACAGGAGACTGAGGAATGAATTGAAAAGAGCCACGGACAGGGCCAAAAAGGAATATCTTGAGAAGATATGTAATGAGATTATGGAATTTCAAAGAACAGGCCGTTATGATTTGATGTACATGAAGACAAAAGAACTAGGATGGAAAGAGAATCATGGGATTCAAAATGTTGGCATCGAAGACTCCCAGGGGAATAGAATAGTAGATCAGAGGCAAGTGCTGAAAATTTGGGAAAATTATATTTCAGAACTATATGATCGACCTAATCGGCCAGAAACCTTAGAAGTTGAACCGGAAGAAGAAGTAGATACAGACGAGAAAGGACCATATATTTTACAAAGTGAGGTGGAAAAAGCTATCAAGGAAATGAGGAAGGGAAAGGCTACAGGAGATGATGATGTACCTGGAGATGTGCTCAAGTTACTGGGAGAAGGTGGTTTGAAAACACTGACAAAACTAATGAACACCATATATGAAAGTGGAGAGTGGCCCAAGGACTTTACAGAAGTTACAATGATTGCCTTAAAGAAAAAGACAAAAGCTACAAAATGCAGCGACCATCGCACAATAAGTCTTATTGCACATACAGCAAAGATAATAGCAAAGATACTTAAAAGAAGAATTGAAAGGAAAATAGAGGATGTACTTGGAGAAGATCAGTTTGGATTTAGAAGAGGAAAAGGAACCAGGGATGCAATTGGGATGATGAGAATTATAGCGGAACGAACTTTGGAGATAGATGAAGAACTGTGTGTTTGCTTCATAGACTGGCAGAAGGCATTTGACCGGGTAAACTGGACCAAATTAATGCAGATCCTGAAAGAAACAGGTATCGATTGGCATGAAAGAAGATTGATTAGCAAATTGTACATGGATCAGAAAGTTAGAGTACGACTGGACAGGGGGGAGACAGGAAGTGTGCAGATTGGAAGAGGAGTTCGACAAGGATGCTGTTTATCACCAATTCTGTTCAACTTGTACAGCGAATGCCTTACCAAGGAAGCTCTGGATGGGCTCGGTGACTTCAAAGTAGGAGGGCAAATTATTCAAACTGTGAAATATGCAGATGACCTTGTGTTAATGGCTAAGGAAGAAACTGTGCTACAGGGCATGATTGATAGACTAATTGAAATTGGAAGGTGCTATGGCATGGAAATGAATGTGGAGAAAACAAAAGTAATGAAAATTTCGAGACAACCAACCCCAGTCACAATAAAGATAGACCAAAAACAAGTGGAGAATGTGAAATGTTTTAAATATTTGGGTAGCTTGTTAACAGATGATGGAAGGTGTACTTGTGAAATTAAATCCAGGATTGCCATGGCAAAAGCTGCATTTAGCAAGAAGAAGAATCTTTTTACCAGCAAATTGGACTTAAATTTGAGGAAGAAACTAGTGAAATGCTACATTTGGAGCATAGCTCTGTATGGGGCTGAAACATGGACACTTAGGGCAGTAGATCAGAAACATCTGGAAAGTTTCGAAATGTGGTGTTGGAGAAGAATGGAGAAGATCAGTTGGACCGATTATGTGAGAAATGAAGAAGTGTTAATTAGAGTCAGTGAGCAGAGGAATATCCTACATGAAATAAGAAAACGGAAGGCTAATTGGATTGGTCATGTTTTACGCAGAAACTGCCTTCTAAAAGAAGCTATCGAAGGAAAGATAGATGGGCGGATAGAAGTGACAAGAAGACGAGGAAGAAGACGTAAGAAGATGCTGGATGACCTTGGGGACAGAAGAGGATACTGTCATTTGAAGGAGAAAGCTCTAGATCGCATTGGGTGGAGGAATTGTTTTGGAAGAGACTGTGGACCTGTCATCTTGACAGATTACTGATGATGATGATGATGATTAATCACACTGAGTAATATTTAGTTGATTTGCACAATGGGTTGTTTTTGAGAAAACTGATATTGTTGAGTCGAGCTTTATGTGCATTGAAAATGGCTCCAAACTAATGTCACATACTCGTACTTGATTCATACAACTGATACACACAAAGTTGTGAACTTGAACATGAAAGATAGATTCTGCAATCATCATTAACCTCTGGGAAATTTTTTAACAAATGAATAAGAGACAAATGGCCAAGGTAAATCCTTTAAGAGGGAAATATGATAACAGTCAAAGGAACCAGAACAATATGGGCAGATTTGCTCACAAATGACAGTGCAGAATTTAGTGCTTAAAAGCCTTATTATTATCAATTAAAATATTCAACATACTTTTAAGTGAAGATGCAGCTTTCAAAACAGGAGAATCACCTTTATCTTGCTGAAACACCGTCATTCTTGGTTTTGGAAACCTGCTTTGTGCTAAAAAAAAGAAAAAGGAAAATATATAAATTACCTCAGTGTAACCATGACTGGTGTTTACATTATGAGTGCCTATAGATTCTTAATGGCCCGACACGGTAGCCGAGCGGTCTACGGCATGCAATGTCTTCGCTCGCTCAGAAGCCAGGACCGTGGGTTCAAATTCCACTCAGGGCATGGATGTTTGTGTGCGTTTTTCTATGTTTGTGTACAGGTAGAGGCCTTGCGACGAGCTGATCACCCTCCCAAAGAGTCCTACCGAAGTGAATGGAGAAGTTCATTGAGGTAGGCCTAGGCCCACTGGGGCTGTAGTGCCAAGGAAAAAAAAATAATTCTTAATGGAGAGACATTAAATTGGCTTGTGTCATAGAGAATAAAACAGATTCATAAAAATAATCAATATTAGCCAATACATCTTTTGTAAAAATGCCAACATTTAAAATGTATCTGTAAAATCAGTCCAGTTTCCGACATTACTATGTACATCAATTCTGATCAACCTCTATAACCTAAAAATTAAGGCTTTTCAATCTCCTGGTAGCAGAGTTGGGTGGTTGAATTCTAACTGGGGGATAGTGACACTAGTTCAGCAATGGGGGGGCTCAAACTGGATGCTGTACAAGCAGTTATAATAGTGTAAAGCATAGCTAATCAAGGTTATACTTTACATAACCATCCATGAATAGAAACTTCCCTTTTCATTACCGACAATCATAAGATCCTCTTAATTTCCTCCGTGTGCGTGCCACTGCTACATATTAAAGAAAAGCTGGCATGCACACAGAGAACCTGCACAAAATAACATGCGACTTGTCCTGAACGCAAGAGGTAGCCGCTGCAGCACATATAAGCATAGAGCAGGTGTCTCTGTGATTTTGATTTTAAATCTAAATTTAAATTTTCAATATCAAAGTTAAATTGAGAATTTAAAATTTTAAACTAATCGACATGTGAATATTAATAAAGATTTTAAACATAATCAACAAAATCGACAATGGGAGTCTGGAATATCAGGTGCTGATTGACAACAGAGCAATGAACTGGAAGTCTGGAGTTTAAATGTTAATATTGAGTGCAGCGTGACAGTTATGTGAAGTGAAATGCACCTGATGATGGCTGGTTGCGGCCAAAACATGTAGTGTAAAAGAAGGAGGACAAGAACTACAATAAAGTGTTACATTTATGACGGAGTTTATTACACATATAGAAGTGTGGAATGTAACAGGATGCTTAAATATAATATAATTCAGTCTCAGTGTTTATCATAGCCAGTGATCAATGCATTTGGGTTTTCTGTTATGTTATTGGTGAGAGTACTGGGAATTAATTACTCTCATTGCAGCCATAACCATGGGTGAAGAGCACAGTTGAATCAGTGCCATCTAATAGAAAACGTACCTGTCATTATATTGTCACGTGTTGGCTGCGTGACGCGACAAATAACTTCACACCATTTTGGATCTTAGCGAATTTATTGTACACTCGCTCTTACACTTACACAATTCACAATTTCACAGTTACTGCCATCTGCAGTGTCACAAATACTTCTCCTGCTGTAGTCACTGCCATTCACTCGATACAACTCAATAACAACTCGTAGCTGCTGGACTTCAACTCCTACTCTCTGAAGGCTGGAAACCAACTGCTAATGCTCAACTAACTCCAGCGAATGCTAGACTGCAACTGAACTCCTGAGGTAATCCAGTTACTCTTACAAACCCTCAGTCGGACAGAGGAAAACGCACTTCGCTTCACTGTTTCGTAATCACTGCGTTCACAGAGGTGTTGCTGCGCAATGCTGCCGATTGCCTAGCAATAGTCTCTGCACGGACTCCCCTGTTGCGTGATGTCACAGCCTAGTGGGGAGGGGTTTACCAAGCATTGTGTAGTGATGGAAGGAGTGGGGGTATGTGACATTACTCGCGAAACGCAGAGTTCACATGACCCCAACTTCCGGTTGCACCATCCACATTACATTGCTCCCTTCTTAAGGCTGTTTGTCCCGAACAGCCTAACGGTATGTCCCTGCTCTTTTTCCTTTGGTGTTTGTCTTCGGGGAGCTACCTCCGCTCCCTGTCTTCAAGGCGCTCCTTCTGAGCAGCTCCATGGTCCAGCAGCTGTTGATTCTGTTGTCACTCATTCACTTGTTCTAGCTTGGGAGGCCGGTGCTTCTGTGTTACCGATTCTTCCACCATGTGCTATTCCACTTTTCCGTTTCGGAGGGGGTCAATCACTCCACAGTGTCCAGTGTCTCACCTCTCTTAATCTACTGGAAATCCAGTTGGTTCTCTTCACGCCCTCCAACTTGAGAGCTTGTCAAAGGGCCTTGTGTAATGACTTCATGCTTCTAGGAATGGGATCCTTGAAGTTTCGGCTCCTTATCCTTCTGCTGTCTCCCAGGTGTGCTCGACATCCCTTCCGGATTGCTTGTCTTTTCTGGGATCTTGCTGCAGCATTGTCCCTGTCCCTGTCTCCTATGCCATGCCACTTCTATGCAGCAGGTCATCCTGATTCCCTCAGTGACCAGTTCCTTCCATGGTTGACACTTTTCTTGGGTCTTGTTCACCCTGAGGAGGTCTCTCTTGAGTCGTGCCACTGTTGTATGGCGGGGGCATCTTCTTGTCGTTTTTCTTAGTCTGCTGTGTCACTTTCACATGGCGGCTTGTCCCTCTGGCCAGTCCTTTCCTTCGGCACACATCCTGACACTGGGTCTGTTCATTCATCTGGAAGCAGCCAGTTTTCGGTCCTCACGCCTTTTCTTCTTTGGTTCTCTGACTGGCATTACTTCAGGGCACTCTTCTTCTTCTGCTGCCTCAGGTTTCCTGTCCAGTGAATTCGGCTCTTCTTCTTTCAGACGTGCCTCCATCTCTTGGTAGGCCATCGTCTTAATTTCCGTTTCGGGTTTGATTTCAGCCACCATCTCCTTGTGGCTGGCGGTCATCCTTTTTCGCCAGGCTTTCCACTCGGCGTCAGCCTTTGCCTGGTTGGCATCCTTCCCTTTTCGCATGGCAGCCATGTCTTCTTGCCAGGCTTTTGTTTCCACTTGGATGGCTTCCGTTTCTGCGGCCATTTTTTCTCGCCAAGCTTTCGTATCGGCGTCCATTCTTGCCAGCAGGTGTTCCATAATTTCTTCCATTTCCATAATGTGACAATGTAACAGTGTGGGGGTATGTGATGTCACCTGTGGAAATGCAGAGTTCACATGACCCCTACTTCCTGTTGCGCCATCCACGTTACAATATCAATTTGAAATTAAATATCTATCACAAGCATTGAGGTGAGTGTGCAACACACAGTACACATGCTCTTCACATTCACACTATTCTGAAAAGCGCACAGGAAACTGAAACAGAGGCTTTTCAACTATCAACACACCCAAAGGTGAAAATTAAACCACAAAGGAGTGATGTGATGGAGATTGTGGTGATATTTAACAACATGAATTGAGGATTTATGTCAACAACAAATCCCCACCAAACTAGGCTTTATCCATGAGAAGGCTGTAAACTTACATGAGGCTGTGATGGAGGCATACAATACTTGGTCATTCCTGACAAAGTACTGTGGCCAATATCAGGATTCAAAACCCACAGCATACATGGGAAAAGCCTGGATATGATCTTCTGCCTATGTTCTTTTTTACTTCGCACAGTGGGGGGTGGAGTCCAGCTGGGTCCACTTGGCACGTTGGCCACTTATTGGCCTATTGTACCTACCCTGGGTGACTATGATGATGTGATGGAATGAAGATTGGCAGGGGAAACCGATGTACTTGGAGAAAACCTGTCCCAATCCCATTTTGTCCACCACAAATCCCACTTGACCAGACCTGGGCTCGAACCCGGGCCACCACAGTGGGAAGCCAGCAACTAACTGCCTGAGCTATGGCGCTGCCTTTCTGCCTATGTTAGTAACACGTTGGAATAGTGAATATATAGTAATGTCTTGACTTCAAAGAGCAATAAGCACCCCAGGCAACAGATTTAGGACCATCCTCAGTTGACTGCTTCAGCGAAAGGAAGCTGGCATTTGGCATAGTTTTGGTGTTTAAACCTACTGATTCGGATACAAGGGAATTGTGTTATGAAAATATACTTACCTTGTCAGCTGAAATACATTTCTGTATACTCAATCTGTACTGAAGTCATACATTAACAATTCAAAGGATAAGATAGGAGTTTAATTTGCAAAATATCTACAAAAAGCAAAAAATGTTTCTTTATATTGAAATATAAAGTGGATATAACTGACCTGATTTTAGATTTATGAATCAAAGCAGTATTTCTAAGCATGAAATATTTTAAGCGCATCTCCACAGACAGCTGCAGAGGGAAAGCCTGAGTCTCAACCTGATATGAAACAAGAGTTACAGGCCAAATTTTGAAGAAATTAAATGGTAAGCAAATCTTTCAGAAAATGAAGATTTTAAATGGTATTTGGGGATCCTGCTATTTCTCCCAATCATGCGGAAGCAGAGCAAAAAATATTTTGTTTGATTGGCTCCACTTTCACAGCATTATTTATGGACATTAGCAACCCAAGCGATAAATTAGAAGCTGTTTAACTGTGCTGGCAGTGCTGTCTGTTAGGCCAAAAAATCCTGATGGAAGAACACAATGAACATGTTTTGCACTGGAGATTATCAAATTACCCTTGGTATGTACACGGCACTTCTGTTTTCTTCTTGGCTATATGAGAATATATAACACTGGACAACTAGTATATTCTGATGTTGGGATTTTGGACTTTATCCATCGTCCTGGTTTTTATTTGTTATCTTAAAAACCAGGACGATGGATAAAGTCCAAAATCCCAACATATCAGTGTGTTATACACCATCGTCAGAATCCTATAGTAACTACTTAACTAGTATATAAGTGGATAAGTAAGCACCTGAAGATGGCATTATTATGCCGAAACATGTAGTGCAAGGGAGAGAAGGAGATAAATGAGTGTATGCATTGCAAGACGGTTTAAATAAATCATGGACTTAAATCAGTGCAACAGGATGCTAAAATATAACATTAGTATATTGCTTTGACAACATTCAGGTTTAGCCAGGCAAGAAAAACCTGACACCTGAAATGACAATTTTTAAATGCAGTGAGGTGTAGGAAAAGTTCAGAAATTGGTATTGCAATATTCAGGTTCAATGTACTGAATAAGGATATGACTATAATTTAATTTTTTAAATACTGTACAATAATTTATGAAATTTGTTTCAATGAAATGGGACCTACTATCAGAAAGGACAAATAGTGCACTTTAAGGAAGTGGCTAGTCTTATAAAGTGTTATTACAGTGAAGAAGTTGTTCTGGTAGAAAATATTCTCGTTCTCAGAACGTTTCCAAACCCTTGCTTCGATCTGAAGAATTCACTTTCACACATGCCTAGAATTTAATATACTTATGTTTATTGTAAAGGTAAAGTTCATTGTACCTAAATAGGATGCCTTCAGAATTAAATGACCTCCATCCCCTCTTTCACACTGCTACACCTTTCTTATAAGTAACTTGTATACACCTGTTAAGTGCACATGATATCCTTTTACACTCTTGTTATCATGCAATTCATTCCACCTCCATCTTCTAAGGACTCCAGTCTTCTTACATCACAAACCTGGTTCCACCTTCGCCATTTTAACTTCCAAGCACTGTTTTCCTAATTCAACTACTTCAATTGCAGAGAAATCATAACAGAACGCTTTGAGAACCTGCACAGCAAAACCATTTTTAATAGCCTGCAGTATGAAACAGCCCAAAAGTATTTATCCATTCTCAAAGTGAAAGGTTACCAATTCTATCATAAGATCAAGTGTAGGCATGTACTAGGATAAATGCCCATAGAAAAGGCAGAAAAATTTGCTTCAAAGACATAAAGGGTCAGGAACTTCTAAATATTGCAATGCATATATGTCTCAAATTGGGTTCAGTACTCAGGAATTTGAAAAAGATTACTGTTTTATAATTAAAGTAAATACTGGTGTTTAAATAATGTACCTCTTCTTGTTCTTGTTTTTCTTACAGTTTCTGCTGTAGACTGCTTTGGAAAAGACACAACTTCAGATTCACAACTACCTGGAATAAAGAGAGGAGGATTTTAAATTTCAGACTATGAAAACTGGCTTGCAAGATCAAAGATAATTATTATAATAACATTTTACATAAATATTTCTTTCATAAACCTACATTCATTTCTTTTAATGAAGTGCACTGTAAATTCCAATGACCCATTCATATAGCAGTGTTCACTCTACTTTATAAGCGTTCTGGTGTTAGTTGGCAAGTTTGTTGCACCGTTAAGGATAACACTATCACCAGCAGTAGCAAGATTATAGGAAATAACACACAATAGTTGTGAATGATGAATATGGCACAGGGCAGAAGGGCAAAGGACACAGAAATGCAAAAATCCCAAGACTGTGGGACCTCACATTATACACAGACCATTACTTTTAAAACTCCTCTTATTTATTATGTTATGTAGCTTTAAATTTGCCAAGTAATGTGTATATGGACTGCAGAAATACGATGGGGTACCCAAAATAAACCGAACTAATTTTTTTTGTGGGCAGAGCTTTTGTAGTACCGCGTTTTGCCGCTATGAGCACATAGAGCTAACATTCCTGAGTCGATAAGCCGACTACCGTTGCTTCAGAAGGTAAGGACTACTTTCAGCAGAGTTTATAGTGACAACTGTTTTGTGTGATCGTCGTTTTTGCAATGGCTGATTTTCGTGAACAGCGTGCGGCGGTGAAATTCTGCTTTTTGCTCGGGAAAAGTGGAACAGAAACTCTTGAAATGTTAAAAACGGCATACAAGGACGATACTATGGGGAAAACTCAAGTGTTTGAGTGGTTTTTCCGTTTCAAAAATGGTGAAATGTCAATTGATGACAAACCTCGTTCTGGTCGTCCTTCCACGGCCCGAACACATGAAAATTTTGAAAAAATCCGTGATATCATTNTTTTCCTTGAATGAAAAGAGACATGAAAGGAAAAAACGATGGAGGCACTGTCAAGCATCTCAAAAGATGAATTTAGACAATGTTTTGAAAAATGGAATAAAAGACTAGACAAGTGTATTAGTGTAAGTGGAGAGTACTTTGAAGGGGATTGAAGGCTTGTGCTTAAAATTTGAATAAATAAGTTTTAAAAAAAATAAGTTCGGTTTCTTTTGGGTACCCCCTCGTATGCTTGTTCACTTGTGATGGATGAATTATTGGACACCAGTGGTGAGAATCTTTTTTGTTTTTAAGCATTGGCTTAAATGCATTAAAATATACATGATTTCATGGTTAACTTGTCATCATGAACACACAAATCATCAGATATTCACAAATGGCCAGTAAATTCACCAGACATTTTAGTGACTGTCCACTGTTCATCTGTTCAAGATATCTCACTTTTGAGACTACTGGTGCAAGTGGATATTAAGTGGTTCACAGGTTTGAATTGTATTTATGAGGTTCAGTGCAAAAATATTTATCGTAGCTGTTTATGCATAAAAAGGGTACTGAATAAGCATTTACTATAAATTAATTAATACATTAAATTTTTGTATGAAAAATATTAATTTAGTAGTAAGTAATAACAAATATTTAAATTTTCATTTGAACTTGACCAAAAGCAATCCTGAGTTTTCCCCAATTAGGCAATGCAGAGACTAAGTCCCAAAACTAATACAAGTTCTAACGTTAAAGACACTAACAAAGAAAAATTAAAGCGCACACACAGTGAAACCAGTCCTACTAATTATGAATTCCTACATTTTGGGCTATGACAAAGGCAATGAAAAAATGGTGAAACAAATATTTAAGCAGAAGATTGGATTACAGTCTAAGTACACAGTCCTTAAAAAGCATGCACATGGCACAACAAAATTCAGTTTCCATTTTCATTCTAAGTAATGCACAGATTTAATAAGGACTTTACTAAACAGGGTTATCTACAGATAATTCTCTAGAGCAGGTATGTCCAACTTCAAACAGGTTGTGATCGACGTTTTTATGTCAAATCTGCCAGTGATCTACCACCCCTCCTATCATCGTACTTCGCTTTAAGCGAAAATATTGGTAAAAATGACATGACACATGATGTTTGTTGTAAAAGCAACATACATTGAAAGTATGGACTTACCTTGTTCCTTAAGAACAGAAAAATAGGAATGACTAATACGTATTTTCCCTTCAAAATATGAATATAATCATATTATAGTGTAAGTGAATTTACATGCTTTTCACGTATAATTTCCTTATAGGCTTATGAGATCGAGCAAAAATCATCCCGCGATTGACGAGTGGATTGTGTTCGACGCGTTGGACATGCCCCCTCTAGAGTAGTGTGTTTCTCAAACTGAGGTCCTTGGTGACCCACCATATGCTCCATATATGGTTTCTATGATAAAAGTAATGAAATAATTTTTATCACATATATATCACAAATTTAAACTGTAAGATTAATGCTGACTGTCAGAAATTCATACGGAGAAAGTACATGCGCATTCTTACTTGGAATGTATTAATAACTGCAGGAAACTTGTGATAAATCATTGCTTATAAAACTCTACTTTAAATTGGATGGAAAAAATGGTCTATGGCAACAGTAATTACAATTTTCCCCTTATTTGCAGAAAAATGCAACTGCACACTCTTTATGGCTCAGTGGCCTGTGTGAGAAACAAAGCTATAACCTTACATTTTGCAGGCACTCAGCTGGGAAACAGATACATGACTTCACCCTGCCATGCAAATGCCAGGAGAGTATGTCAATGGCAACTTCTTTCCAAATCCTTTCATCATTCATCATCTTATATCCAATGTTATATGGCCTCAATAAAGGTGAGGTAAAGTTTCCCCTGTTCTTAAGTAATTAAGCACTACAGCATGAAGGACTATGGGGGAGTAGATGTATAGATTCACATTTTCTTGACCTTGGTACTAGTTAGAGGTTGAGTGGTCAGCTTCACACCACGGCTGCTTTACTCCCAGGGAAAGAGCCCCCGGTACCCATTGGATAGCAGGTTGGATGGACCCCAGAGCCAGTCTGGGCAATGCGGAATAGAGAAAATGCTTGACCTTACTGGGACTTGAAATCCAATTCCTTGGTCGTTCAGCTTGTAGGCAGTTGCTATACCTACTATGCTATCCCAGCTCCTATATGGTCTCAATATTAAAAAAAATTCTTTATATCACCCACTGGAACAATTCAGTTTCACATACTTCTAACTTGGCAGTATCTGTATAGAGATACTGCCAAGTTGAAAGGGTTGTTACTGTTTGTTTATATGACATCAATTCTTCTCACTACAGTATTACACCTTATATTTTACAAGAGTTCAGTGTTGTCCTTACTTCTGGTTGAATCTGGGCTGTCTACAAGTTTCACAGTAATCGTATCCAAGTTTTCATCCTGAACAGTATTCATTAGATGATCAATTGCTTCACGCTGCAATAGAGCACCAACAAGATCATAAAAGTGAAAATGCTCTGTAAACAAACACTTAAAAGAGAACAAGACCATTGTACTTCTTACTATCCAGTATTTATCAAAAGCATTTTGATTTAATACGAATGAAGCAGAAGTCTACCGAGTTACACTTACTTAAACTTTGAATACTGAGGTGTGGGCCATGTCAGGATTTGCCAGATTGTTTTGGATTAAACTTAAATACAGAATGCTAATTATCCACATCACAATAATCCACAAGTATCACTAATCATCAGACACCAGAATTTCACCATATGGCAGCTGAGTTCAAGATTTAGAGCATAAAGTAATTCAGTTGTACCAGAACCAGAATGGTCAGTATCACTTCTACCGAAGCCAATGGAACAAACTGTTCTAACCTACTTAATCTGTTACTAAAACTGTGTATTTTTAAGATTACTACATGTAACCTAAATTTGGCCAATTTTGGGTTTATATACTGAACTTGGAAACCGGAAAAATATGCTGTAATTGCATTCATCCCATAAGTACTGGAAAATAACCCAGATGCTGGATGTTTCTTCTCATACATTATCCTCAAGCAAATTAATAAACATTATGTATATCAGCTACAACAGTGGACTGCATTTATTTTAATTTATGGGTTAAAGTTAAAGAAAAGGCTGTACCCACACTTTCATCACAGAATTTATAACAAAAATATGTGACCAGACTCCACAAATAAGAATGTAAAAAATTGTAACTATTGTAATTTTAATCTACTTATATATCAAATTGTTAATATTCAGAATTAACCTGACTTGTCATATATCATGTACAATGATCTACAGTGACGAAATAAATCAATCAATCAATCAATCAATCATGGTTTTATAACTTCAGACAGCAGTGAATACTTTCGATTTTGTATGTTACACAAGTTATTCCAGCAACCAAAGTTCTCCATGACCAGTAGCTGCCAAACTAATTGTATAAATAATAATAACCATAAAAACCCCCAATAGCAGCAACCATGGTTTGCACCCATCAGTTGATTTTTCCTTTCAAAGAAGAGTATAGCAAACACAATATTGTATTCTGCTTCCCTGATAACTATTATTATAAGCATTACTCACTGTTTACTAACTTATGAATAGGTCACAATTGCGACATATTACACCACCTATTTATCTTACAAGAGCTGGTAGAGCTCAGCAGGAAAAGAGGCGTGAATGGTCGAGGAACTGGGTTTTGATCCCCAGCAGGGCAAGGGATTTTTCACTTCTCCACAATGTCCAGACCGACCTATACAATGGGAACAGAGGGCTCTTTCCCTGAAGGTAAAGAGGCCTAAGCGTGAAGCTGACCATTTACCTCCATCTGGTGCTGTGATTGAGAATGGTGGGGATATACTGTACTGTTTTTATAAATTGGAGGAATTTTATTGTATAAATGGTTAATATGTTTGTCATTTGAATTAATTTCTGTCACCAGGGCATGGCGCGTCCTCAGGTTGCGGATGGAGGAGACGCCCTCCAGTTTTGGAGGGAAGCTGCGAATATATTGAATAAGCAGTCGCAGACAGCCGACAAGAGGTGGCCCTCCAGCTTGGGGGTTGGGCGTGGGGCTAAGAACTCCTCACCGTAAAAAATCAGTATGTTACGAAAATGAACACAAAGCCTTGGTCCTGGACTGATTCCTTGGATAAACGACCTAAGGGATCTTAGAGAGATAGGATGGGATGGTATGGATTGGATAAATCTGGCTCAGGATAGGGACCAGTGGAGGGCTCTTGTGAACACGGTGATGAACCTTCGGATTCCATAAAATGCTGGGAAATTCTTGAGTAGCTGCAGAATTGGCGGCTCCTCAAGAACGGCTCAGCTCCATGAGTACGTAAGTAAGTAAGTAAATCATATTCATTATGTTCTATGTCTATGTTATGTATATTTCATATTATGTTACATAGACTTGTTCCAATGATTAATTGTATCATCTGTTCTGATATGTGACACATTCCATATCTAATGGTTTGTGAATCTACTTCTCAACCTGTATATGGATCTGCTTGAATTTGAAATAAAAGAACAAGAACTACCCAAAACGTCTTCATGGCATGGTGCTTAATTAATTACGGGCACGGACAACTTTACCTTACCTTACAAGTCCAACGCCGGGAAATATTCCTCTCCTTGGCAAGCCTTCTCAGTTCGTTAAATTTCATAGCTTCCAGTTGCGATTTAGTAAACATTTTGGAAATTATCCTATTTAGGTTATAAGCACTGTAACAAATTATCTAAATTTTAAAACTAGTGAACAGTATTTTACTAAAGTTATTATGTTATTCCAAAACACAGAAAGTTATACGTCTTATTCTTTAACAGTTAAACAGTTACAAACTACTGCTAAAGCCGTTGCAATTGGACCTACAAAACAAATCCCACACTACATTTAAATTGTTCGTAAGCCAATGAGCAAGCCCACATCATGTATACCAACCATTAATCACAAAGTGGAGGGTATAAGCTTTAAAAATGAAAGGAATGTGACTATAAGGGAGGACTACGAATCAAAATAGTGTGTGATTTACACTACGTACACAAAATATTTTCAACTACGTACGTTACATCCAAATTTTGTGGCACATGTGACCGGACTATTAACATTACACTATTGCCGGTCTGCTTCAAGATTGAGAAATTTCATTGGTTAAATATGAAGTAATCCTAGTTACGGACCAATGCAATGACCGTGTCATTCATCAAAACACTGTTGTTGTGATCTGTTGTGTCTTCCTGTAGTAAATTTATTTGTGAATCGGAGTGTTGTATAAGTTGCTGCATCCCGAGCTGAAGTGTTGAAAGTAAAAGTGAAATGTTCTTGATCCAGTGTTGTAAAAGAAAGTCGATGTAAAGAGGTGTTTAAAGAGGGTAAGCTACAAATACCTAGGCGTTTTGTCGAAGTCTTTCTTAACATTATTTTTCAGAAAAGTTTGTTTGTACAATCAATACTTTGAATCAAGCAGCAGTCGAAAGCTTCGAAGAATAATTCTTATTTGAATAGATTATATAAAAGTTAACTTCCCACGGTTATGATCTTTAGTCAGATCTAATTTTATCAGATATAAATCGATTCGATATATATCAGAGACCGGCTTTGCTGCATACTTGGAAATATTTGTCATGGTAATAAACTTCAATTCATCTCGACGCTTTACCACCACGCTCTCAAATCGCAGTGGGTGTATGGAGGTAAAGTTCCGCGGATTGCTGATCTAGGCAGTGGAAGGAGATGATTGTTCAACTTTACGCTCTGGCCGTTTTATTCCCCATGTCCTGTGGATAGGAGGGTGGAGGCTCCAGCTGGTGATCGAACTCTGGTACCATAGCCCGTATACAACCCTTTACTAAGTAAACTATTGCAACTCATCTGCCAGTCATAAAATATAAAAACGCGAATGCAATGGTGTGTATATGTCAGTTATGTACCATTATGCAGTTATCCGCCCTCGAATTTTCCAAATTGAAAAGTTTGAAGTAGTAAGGAAGCTCTCGGCTACAACATAAGCGAACCAGGCAGGATTTTAGTGGTGACACGTTTTATAAAATCAAAATTAATTTCTGCTGTTTGCATGGTACCCATCACTGTGTAGAAATCGAATCGTTTTATGCAACAGTGCAAATTAAACTGATTTATGGATTACGATACGATTACATTTACATCAGTGCCTGGAAGTTTCTTGTTATTAAGTAAGATGAAGTTTTATGTATGTTGATCTGTTTTAATTGGCTGGAAGGGGGGGGGGTTAATATTTAGTCTCATGATGCGACATTTAGCCCCGCGCTGGTCTTAATTTCGAGAGACATAAAAGCAATACCTCGACTCAAATTACACAGTCATTCGTTTCAAGTTGACGTATTGTAACTCTAAATTACTGGGAAAATGCCAGGCTACTTATAACCAGTGCTGTGCTCCGGCCGTGCTCAGTGAAAGCTGCCCCGGCCCCTCATTCGTAAGACACAGGGACATGAATAAATACATAAACAAATAATCTGTTAATAAAACGGGATAATAGCACATTTTGAAATTAGGACTTTTTCATTTTAGCGTAAATTTGTAACTTCCATTGCTTTCTTTTCGAAGCCCTAATGCAGTTCCGCTCCTTCCCTTTGTGACAGTTACCAGTAACTTTCGTTCCGCAGAAAGAAATCGTGGAACATTGTATTTTCTTATCGTCCTTGACTAACAAATTTACGTTGCGTATTTAATTCCCTGTTTAATGGTAAACTATTTTGTATATTTATTAGGAACTGCAGTCTTTTTATCCTGTCGAGAGTTTGCTGCTGTCTGTTTTATTTAAATACATTTTGTGAAGTGAGCTGTTTACACGTATATCGTTCCTGAGTAGCAAATGTGGGTTCGGAAGAAACAGATATTGCCCCTGTAGAATCTGACTCTCGAGACAGCCAGACTGCCCGACGTTCGACCAGCATACCTCCCAAACACGAAAGAATGCCACACCACGATGCTAGCTGTTGTAAGCGGCCCTCCGTTGCATTGTATATGTGAGTTTTTATCAAATTGCGGTTTCATTTATTTGCTATATGGTTTAAGACACTTTCAGTATCTCGAACTACGTATTTTCGAATGGCAGGATGGTTAACGAATAATTAAATGGAAATGATGGGGAAGAAAGCGATTGTGTAATTTGAAGTACTATCCCGGTATTCGCCTGGAGGTACTGAGGAAAACCACGAAAATTAAGATTAGCCTGGTTTCGCACCGAGTCTTGAACCGGGGGCATTCCGAATACGAAACACGATTGCTAACCAATCGACCGACCTCGACGTTCAGTCAAATTATAAAGCAGGGTACAGTACAATAAAACTATACTTTTGACCCTAAACGGTTTATACTCGTATTATGCGTTATGCAGCGAGGTTCTTACCTTTGTTGACCGGTTCACGGCTCCGCGCTTCACGGTGGCCGGTGAACTGGCGGCTGCGAGGCGCATACGAATTTTGCCAGTGAATCAATATGCCTGTCGGCCGATAGCCTTCGGAATAAAGTAGTTACAGTTCACAAATCACACGCAGACTTTCCTCGCACCGGCGGAAGGGGTTCTGATTTACCCTTTGAAGCTGTTCTTCAGGAATAATTGCAATTTCCGCACGAATATTTCCTTTTCCTTCATCACGAAATTTACGTCCGCACTTTCNGCTTCCCCCATCTACCAGAGGCGTTAGAGACTATTGTTGGGCGGGAAATGTCCTTTATAATTTGGCTCAGAGGCCTCCTTGAGGCATGAGGTTCTTTTACGTGCCGTAAAGCTACGACATGGGACCCACGGCTTAAAGTCCCTCCCGGAGGACTTGTTCCCTGAATTTTTCCGCCCTTAAAAATTCCACGACCTCTGCAGGGTTTGAACCCGCGTAGCTTGAGTCATGAGGTGGCCGCTTGCTCTAAAGTATATCGCACCATGACGTACGACATGGCCCACTAATTGAACTGAAAACAGACGGCCGATTGAACTGATAACTGCCGCCCACTGCTGTCAAATCGTAAACAAATTCCCACGCATGAACTGTACTGCTCCCGATGAAGCATAATGCTGTCAAGCAGTCCACAATGTTAATAACTTCCCTTAATTCCAAATATTATCGGCCATCAGGCATACTGATTCATCGTCAAAATTCGTATGCATCTCGTTGCCGGCGGTGCGGCGGTCGCCGTGAAGCGCAGAGCTTCGAGCCGGTCGACAAAGATAGGAACTTCCCTGGATACCAGCGCGATTGTCTGAGATACACCCGAAAATCATTCGGTCGCTCAAACGGAAATGACAGACCATCCTGGCGTCAACTCGGGCTGTAGCGTTTCATACTAGCGGCCGACTGCACAAAATTGTAATGATACAGCCTCTCAGAATTAGTAGGATTTTGGACTTTTTCCATCGTCCGGAATCCTAGGTAATGTATTACCTAGAGTTCTGTGTGTCATCCACCATCGTCAGAAACCTTTAGAAGTTACAGCCTCTGTTCATCATCACCGCAGTAAGCAGCCTTACAGCTACTGTGAAACGAACTTATGCGTTCGGCCTGTGTGCTGGTCCACTGTTTTTGTCTAAATTCAATTTCTGGAGTTATGTGATAGTTCAAGCTGACGTTTTCGAAATCCCAGTCTCCTGTGCAAGGCATTTTTTTTTGTCAAAATAAAATGAGCACTAAACATGTCAAAAAGGGAAGTGCTGAACACTAAAACTGGAAGCGTCCAGTATGGCTGCATTTTTAAAATTGTAGAATATGTATGAAGGATAATATACACGTGCATAACTACATAATAAAAATGAATATATGTCAAAGAAGGGACCTTAGGACTCTGCAGAACTTCTGCATTTGGGTCCTGCACATTTGAATACATTGAAGCGGAACGAAATTTGTCAGTAAACTCTTATTTCTTGTCTTTTTTAATTTCTATTCGTAGAACGTAGATCTGATAATCAAATTTGCCATAATTTAAACAAACTTGAGGTAAAAAAGGATGAATTACAATTCTGATTGTTAGGATCGAACCCTACCGCTCCCCTACATTGCACCGTTTCCTAGGGCGGACGTAAGAGGCTTGTGTGCATGCGCACATTAAGTAGCGGCAGACAGCTTTTTAATGTCATATTATGTTTAAATTTCGGAAATATTTATTCGTTTCTTGTTATGCGACGTTTTCCAAAGCGCTACTAACGTATACATTTGGGTATGCTCATATATGTAAACAGGCGTGCTAAACGGTAATAGTAAGTTTCGAGCAGCCGACGGTTTTGCCGTGATAAGGCACATTTAGAGCAAGGCGTGTAGATGTCGTTAAAATATAGGGAAATAGCATTGCGGCATACAGATTAGAACGCCTGCTAAATCGAAGATTCTCGATTCGAATCTGCTGCTCAACTGTACTTGACCTTTTAGTTAAAAAGAATTTTAAAAAGAATATTCGTAGTTGCGTTTCTTTGTTATTTAGTTGAGTGGTGGTGGTGGTGGTGGTGGTGGTGGCGGCAGTAGTAGTAGTAGCAGCAGCAGCAGTAGTTAGTACTAGTAGTGTCAGCATTTAATTTGAATTCTGTTGAATATGAGAGGTCTACAATACGTAGACCCATGATAGCTGTTTTTCAGAAGAACTTAAGAAAACGTTAGCTATTTCATGTTCCATTGTGTATTGTTATTATTATTATTATTATTGTTATTGTCGTCACGATTTATGTATGACTGTAGACGGATGGATTTGTTGATCACTTATACACCACTCGGAACTGCAAGCACTTACAACGCTATCGCTGATCTACGCACTTTACAAATCACTACACGGTGAGTCTTCTCCAGCCTGCAGCGTCTTCACTAGTCGTTGCTTGGTAACAGCTCTCAGCAGTGGAGATTCGTCAGTTTCCGTGGGCACACCTTTGCCCGCTGGAGAACACTTCACAACTGAACTGTCAGCTGAACCATACTCGTAGCGTCATTTCTTCACAGCTTCCCTTGAAGAACTCAGATCTCAATTGACTGGGTCAGTCAGAGTTATTTTACGACTCGTGGTTTATCGCCAGTCAGTTCGTCTTGGCGACAAGAATTTTTATTTTCCAACTGAAGACTTGCGGTTGTAGTCCTTGTGTAACA